ATAATCAACGGGAAAATTAATATTTGGAAATATTTACATGGGATAATACAAATAAGATGTAAAATATTTTTCTGGTTTTAAAATTCATATGAATTATTTTCCCGTTTTTTTACTTCCTCTTAAGTCTATAAACTAATTTAACAAATTTTATTTTCCTGATTTATAATTTCCCGGTAAAGTTTTTCCTCTATAATATTTTCCTACTCATAAATGTTGCTGTTAATTATTTCCATACATATATTTTCCTACGAATAATTATTGTTCCTTAGTATTATTTTCCTATATTTTACTTTCTCGTTTCTGTCATTCCTCTATATAGCTTTCCTGGATTTTAAAGCCCCTCATCACTAGTTTGATACTATAATGGTCTAAGGCAAATAGTTACTACAGACAGATAAAATGTGTGATGTTTATAATATTCATAAATATTAAAATATTATTGTTTTGTTAATCTTGTCCAGTGCTTATTTACAACACTGTGAATTCGAATTGCACCCTTTTCAATTTGTAGACTAGACTTTGTACTCTAAAACGCGCACTATTTTAGGTCTAATGTAACATATTTTAAACTCATAGTCATTGGGTCTTATAGATACATGTTATATGTAATAACAGTAGGTACGTATACATAATATATATGTATAATACATGCTATTAATTATTATATTTTTTTATTGTTATTATTTATGGAACTTTCCAAAATGTAAATCCATTGACGAAACTACACATTTCTCTGCTGTTATGACCTCGAAGCTAAGTCGTATAAAAAACACTACAAAATTAATGTCACGTGTATAGAATTCCAACGTCTATATTTAATTTTTATGTTTACCATTATATGATATTTACTATTTAGTCATATATAGTATAGTCATGACGTGCAGTGATGTAATAAATGCATATTTGTATGGATAAAAAGACGCGAGCAATATAATACTGGTGATTCTTCTATAAGTGAACACTAATTATTTCAAAAAGTATCTTAAGTTTTTGAAAATATTTTTAAGTTTTGTTCTCTTTCAAATGACAACATACATTTTCAATTTTAGATTCCTATATGCACAATGTTTCGCAGGGTTACCTTTTTAATGTTCTGTTTTTATTATTACATAAAAATTACTTAATGTGCTTGTTTCTACAGATTGTTTTATATTTAAAAAAAAAAAAAATATGCACATTATATTTCTGAGTATTGTTATGTATAAACAAATTGAATTTCGAACTATAGTTAGTTAGTAATAACTTACTTACTTACTTATAAGTATTTAAAGTTTAGATGAGTGGAGTAATAGATCAACATTTTTCAAGGTCTCCTAGTTTAGTCTATAGTAGCCACTCCACTGTGCTCGTGTAAACCGTGAAATTTACAAAAATTTGTTAGAAGTTATTATATGTCTAACTTTGTATATATACATCAGAATGCTCGGAAAAATATTCTGCTTCTGGGTAATTTATAAATATAAGAAAATATTTTTATTCAAAAGAGTAAAAACTTACGTCTTATAAAGTATGGTAATAAATAATATCAATTTTTTTTCTTCAAAAATATTGTTATTTATAGGTTAACCTACATAAAAAAATTCAAAATACTATATACAAAACCAAATTAATGCTTATTGAGAAAATTAGTATTTACTATTAAAATAATCAACCTGTATACTATATTCCGTGCATTACGAAGTATCTTCATTCTTTGCACTACATCCCAATCTTCGTTCTTCTATTATATTTATACGTATTGTTTCTGAAACCGGATCCGTTCATACAACGGTGGGCATTGAATGAAATTAATATTCCTATATCATAGTAATTCATCATCACACGTTTTGTTGCACATGTCATATTGTGGTATTATAATATATGATATTACTATATTAGGTATATATAGTCTACATCGTAGGTTGTGTATTTCATTGACTAAAACGGTACTATAGCACTGGAGATTTATTTGCATCACATGTGTACATTATAATTTATATTGTAGTACATGATTGTAACGTGATTTTTTTTCAATAATCGGTGGTTTTTTTTTACTTTATCTATGAATGAAACATAACATATTTCATTATGATAAACATAATAATATAATCTGTACAAATTAGAACATTGTACATATTATATTAAATAATAAATTTACATCCGGTGTATAGTTGTTATTAGTTAATACTGTGTGTGTACTGTGTATTAACTACACGCCAATAGGTATACCGTATGTCCCGTATACATATAAATATTGTATGAGATGAGCTACGGTTTAATTTAATACATTATCATGTCTAATAGGTATTATATTAAGCAATTTAATTTTCAATTATCTGGTACTAAAAAAATTGCACACAAAAATGACAAAATTTAGTAGGTAAATTTAGTAGGTGCTTGTATATAAGAAAAAAATATTATTATAGGTACTATTGTAAAAATGGTAAATTGTATGTAGTTAAAAAAAATTCTTGTAGTCACCAGGAAACATTGAAACACAAAACACGCGTATATCACTTCCCAGAGTTGAATTGTATTAAATACTACAGTAGACGCATTAAAAAATGTAATTAGTTAAACTATAGTCAGACAGTATTACAGTTTTAATATTTTAATTAATCGTAATTAGTATTATTTATTGTATTTTATAGCAATAAATTCTATTTCTCTAAAATCTTAATTAAATTCATTAATTTAATAATAATGGAATACCTTTTTATACTTACCATTTTACAATTTTAGAAGTATAGCATGTATGTAAGCAGATATATAAATTCAACTTTTTTTTTTTAAATTTTATCACTCATAAAATACTTCGATATTTAAAATAACTAAATTATATGAGATTTTCAACTCTCAAGATGGAAACTTACCATAAATCCCACATAAGTGAAGCCAAGAAAATACGTAAATCCAGCCTTAGTATATAAATGAACAACCAAGAAATCCGATGAAACAGCAAGGACGACTTAGTAGAATACTTAAGGATACACCTAGACGGAATATTCCCATACTTAAATAAAAAACTAAGCTTATAAAGCATAATTAGGTTCAAATCCTATATACCCCTATAAACCACACCTCAACCCTGCATATAAAATTATCTCTTCTACTATACATGGCCATAATAAGACTTTGAGGGGGCTGCTATGCAAATTATTTGGAGAGGAGGCAAATTTTACACATTTTATAAAAAAATTTAGGGTTTATGTACATTCTACATTGTAACTATATAAGTGGCGTAAATATAGTTTTATTTAGGTAGAATTTACTGTGGGCCATAACTAAATATTTGTCGGCCGTGGCTGGCCAAAAATAAGTTCAGGGATAGCATATGCTGTATACCCCAATGTGCACACCTATATATGCGTTCCACGGTTAACTACTAAGTAATAACTACTAAGTAATAACTAATAACCAAAACTAAAACGTCAACAATATACTCTATAAATAAAATAGACGGAGCTTGCCATTAAAAAAACGGTAAAAAAAACATCTAGGCTAAAACCACTCCAACCACAAGACAACTTCCTAGAAGACCAAACAGACAACTAACCAAGATGATATTTATTTGTTTATTTGTACCTATTTGGTGTAAATGTATAACTTCGTAAAAACATTTAGTATATGTTGAAACAGTAAGTTATAATAATTATAAAAAAAGAACTAAATTATTGGTTTAGCTTGTTTTGTCTGAAACGTACAATACATTTTAGATTCCGAGCGGATCGATGAATGTATTTATTTTACTATGATGTGTTTTTTTTTGTGTGTTTGTGTACGTACACGATAAGAAGTCGAAATAATAGTTTGATTTTCAACTTCAGTATCTTGTTTGATGGGAAAGTGAAACTATAGTTGGTGTATTGAGGAGGTCAAAATCCCATCATTATAGTGTTGTAAAGCGTCGAGAAAACCAAAAAAATCTTTATGACAGTAAATTTTTAGGCAAAATCAGTTTTAGAAAAAAACCTATTTTGGTTTTTGGTGTAAGGCTAAAACAAATGACCATGCATTTTCTATACACGATCAAATTTTGAAAAATTGTTTACGGACATTTTCAGTTTCCAATTTTTTTAGTTTTTTTCTCGATGAAAGTCAATAAAATCTTGAAAATGGAATACAATAAAGGCTCCCAATAAATTTTTACAATATTTGAAAAATATTAAAAATCCTTGTGACAATTTTTTTTTATAAGCATTTAAAGTTCAAAATACGTAAAAATTACGAATATGTGCGAATTATTTTGAGCTAGAAAATCATAAAAGTTTATTTTATAAATCTAAGATTTTAAAATGCAATACAAGATTCCTCATAAGTTTTTCTACCTTTATACAAAAAAAAAAAAATTTCTACGAGAAAGTCAAATTAAATTTTTATGAACTTTTGAAGTTCATATTTTTACAACATTGCATATTCACTAGATTTCTTATGTAGTGATTTTTTTATTTTGTTGTAATTTTATAATTATTTATCAGTTATTCTGATTTTAAACTTCTTATACTATACTCATTACTTACTTGTGTTTAACTTCTTGTGACATCAATATTGATCGATGTTCATACATTGGTAATAATATTCTTATTACTTTGTTGACGTAGCCAATAGTTATGGCGTATACAAATTATATATAGATACAAAATATACAGTTTTATAATGCATTTTAAACATTTAATAAGTTAAAAACAAAATATCACTTCGTATAATGATATTAGCGAATTTGTAGTTTGTGCCTAGTATAAAACTATAGAATAAAAATATAAATATACTACAACCGGTGTTTAAAATAATATTAATTATTAAACACTTAAGTATATACCAGGTAGTTAAGTTTCTATTAGAGATTATGTCATTATTCACAAATAAATTATATATTGGTTTATATTTAAATTATTCATTATCTATGTACTTGAGTATTTTATTATAAATTTATAAATCTAAACATTTGATATTTTAAATGAATAAATAAACCTATTTTTGATTGTTAAACAAATATAATTAATACATTTTCTTTAATTTAGTACACTTAGGGGACGATAATGTTAAAACCAAATTTATCATCCTCAATGATTCCGTGGAAACAAATGAAAAACCGAACAAAAATGGAAACGATAGTCTCTCGTCCAATGATGCCGAAAACTTAAGACCGGAAAATGAAGAACTTCCCGAAGGTGTTCGTCAAGGTATCTGCAAATGGTTCAACTCAAAAAAAGGATTCGGATTTGTCACTCCAGACGATGGTGGCAAAGATGTTTTTGTTCATCAGGTAAAATAAAATTCACTTATACCATGTCTAATACATGACGTGTCACATTGACTTGATACCATATTATACTTCTATGTTTTTTTTTTATAGAGAGTAATTAAAAAAGACGGATTCAGATCCCTTAGAGAGAATGAACACGTGGAGTTTACATGTCATGAATCAGACAAGGGTTTAGAAGCTACTCTTGTTACTGGACCAAGAGGTCAATATTGTAAAGGATCAAAAAAGGCATTTCCTCAAAAAAAATTGAGGTGCGTATTATCTTAATATATATATTTCTTCTGTCCGTGTGTAAGTATTCAAACTCCTCCTATACGGCAGCACCGATTCTGATTTTTGTATGTATGCCTGCGTAGTCCTTGAATGGCTTAGATTCACAATTGGACCCAGTAGGCCCAACCCGGGGAGGTGCTTAAACAGGGTTTTTGAGATTTGCGATGGAAATTTTTGTAAATGGTTGCTATTGGTTATAGGGGAAATAATTAGTGGAAATTAGTATTTATTTATTATTGATTACTATTGGTTATTCGGGCAGATCAGGTAAAAACATGCATTAAATCTAATTTTCGCACATTGCCTACCAAAGTGGCTGTGTTTCACTTATAGTAGGTAGATGGCCTACTTGATATGCTGTCGCACATAGTCCGCGATCGGACTTAGTCGGATTTCCTACCAGGCTGAACTGCACTTACTGCCGCAAATTACACCCAAAAGGAGTTGAACAATCACAATTAGCTAGGAAACTTATAAAATATATTATGCATGTATTTTTTAAATATTTTCATTATTTTAATTAGATGTTACAACTGTGGAGATTTTGCCAATCATATTGCTGCCAAATGCACATTGAGTCCTCAGCCCAAGCGTTGTCATAGTTGTAAGGATCCAAACCACCTTATAGCCGATTGCACTCAGATTCAGAGCAAAGAGCCTGTGATTAATAAGTTCGTCAAAAATCCGCGAAAAAAATCAGAACGACAGAAGCCAAGACCAAAGTCAAAACCTGAAGATGGTAGTGTTGATGAACAGCCGCAGTCAACTATTTTACCCAATCAGAATGGAGATGAAATTAATGACAAACAAGATTAAGATAATTGAGTACAAGAAGACTAATAAATCATTCATAATCATAATTAATTTTAATTGCATGGAGATAAATTAATATTTTTTTAAACATTGGAGTTTTAAGATACCTATAACTTAAAAAAAAAACTTAATATAGGTACCATTTTGTAAACTATTTTTTCTAAAACAAATTTTTAATGTTGGTAAAATGTCAACAGATTAAATTATTATATTCATGTCAAATATGTTTTATTTTTTATTGTTTTATTATTACGCCCATCTATAACTTTGTAATCAAAAGTTCTCCATTATAGACGTTTGGATTATACATGACTGTTCCTTTTGCTTACATAATGCTGCTGACAAACTTTTTTTGTCACCATCTACTTCATCTTTACCATAACAGACGTAAGCTGCACAAAACAAGAAGCATATACCACCTAGAATCATAACGGCTACTACAGGCAAAGGTATAGTATATCTTGCCACCAGTGGGTCTTGAACTATTTCCGCTGAAAAAAATAAAACAATTATTTATAAAAGTGCTTCAAAAAAACATTTATATTCTTTTTAAAACAAATATCTTAATTTGATACAACATAAACATATAGGTACCTACTGATCCGCTCGGAATCGTTTTAAGTTTCTATATTTTATGAATTATATTTATAATTAATCATTGAAATCAAATTTATTATTTAACACATCTATTACTCAATTATGATATACACCCAAAGCATATAAGCTACTACAGAAGAAACTATTTCCCGGTTTTTATTTTTCTTAAAAACTGTTAGTACATAAAATTATATTGGTTGTGAATATTTCTTAAGGGGTATTGTATAGGCAATCTTATGCTCATTATAATTATATACAATAATAAACATAGGCTCGGCGCGGTGTAGCGGCTGAAATAAATCACGTGACGTGATTGAGAGTAAGCAACGGCCGCTGCCACTAGTTATCGGATGGGTGACCACCCGGGTTCGTAGTGCGCAAAAACCTTGCCACACATACACGTGTTCCTAACCGTCCCAACCCTACTGTACCAACTTTACAGGCTAATGATCTCAGTCGCTTCTTTAAATCTAATAAAAAAAAAAATTAAAGATCATAGGCTTGCGTACTGCACAGACCATGGGCGCATCTAGTGGAACTACTCCTTGTTCAACAAATATAGGTACCTACCATATAACAGTATATCAAGTCGTTCTTAATTTGTTCTACCTAGTCAGTTTGCTATTTTTAATTTTGAAAAGGATCATTCACAAGAACAGCTGGTGATGGGCACAATCAAAAATAATTTTTGAAAATAGTTTAACGATCACTTTCATTTATAGGAATGTATCCAATTGCAACTTGGTCGTAACATAATGATAGATTATTTTAGTTTATGTTTTTTTCATAGTCATGTGATCTGTGTTCTGTATGTTATTTAGTAATTTAACTTCAGCTCAGTTTCGAATATGGTGGGGGGGCGACGTGGCGACTACCCCCCCCCCCCTCCTAGGGATTAATTATAACCTAACCTAAAATTCAGAAGTCATAACTATAACTTCAAACTTAATAAATGATACAAAAAAGGTATTTTTTTTTTTAATATCTTATCAATTATATTATTGTTATTTGATTATCAATACAAATTGTCGAATTTAAATAACATGATTATGTTCAAGACAAATTTGAAATTGGTTATAACCAAAATTGCTGTAGACAACTTGCTACGGTTTTAGTTTTAGATTATAGATAGAATGACAGATATAATCATCTTACCGCCAAGCAGTGCTGCACCGCCTTATAAATCTGTTGGGGAACGGAAAAAAAGTCTCAAAGAAAAATAGTTTCGGGGCAAAAAAAGTTCATAAAACTATTAAAATAATTTTTAAAAGTTACAGCGATAACAATTTATACAACTAGGATTTTTATAATTATGTAATATTTTTTTTCTATTCTGACATCTAACTTAGTGCTATAGATATGTATATTTTTTTAATAATATCTATTATGGACTAAGATTCAATGAGATATTTTTTTATAATTTTATAATTAAGAGCTATTATTTTTGTTTAATATCTGTTTTGTATTTATTAAAATAATTTTTAAAAGTTACAACTTCACAACGATAACAATTTATAGAACTAGGATCTTTATAATTATGTTATGTAATGTAATTTTCTGTTTTGTATTATTTAGTAGTTACCTATTATATGATTACATAATTATTAGATATTATCTTTAGAAAACCGACTCTTTTCCCGGGACTTTTTTTCCTACCACCAAATCTGTTATCACTTCATTTTTATAAAATAAATTAAATATTTTGTTCACTGTGACTGTGGTAAATAACTCAATTTTAATATTGAGTGCTGAATATTTTATTTTCATTGTTCATGGACAGATTTGCGGCTGGTAAAAAAATAACCACACAATTGTAGCTCAAATAAATTATTAATACATTTGTTAATTTAATATTGAATAAAAGACTGTTGAATTTTTATACAGTTTAATTTTTTTTTATATATAACAGATTGTTTATAGACTAATATGTATATATTGAAATTCTATGATACATTGTTCTATGATGATACCAATATTCGTCCCCTCCTTAAATGAGCTTCAGATCCGCTACTGCTTCAGCTTCTAATTTATTATTATATGTGTTAAATATAATAAAATATTATTTCATGTTATAAAATCAACCTTAGGCGGCGGGCTTCTGAGTGCGGCGGCGGCAGTCGTGGTGTACTGCACCACTAGGGCCAGGCTCTAGTGAGTGTCACTTTATTGTTCTATCAAGTATCAACCTAATCAAGAATTTTTTGAAAATGAAAACTGACGACGAAAGTTGTTAAAAACCGATTTAATCGATGGGTGTGGTCATTACAAGGTTGGCCAGTGGTCTAACACTCTAAAAGGGGCATTAGAAAAAGATAGGTACCTTGTATAATAAATTAGTGGTGAATCACTCCTAATGATACCTATACTGCTTAGTACCTACTCATCTAAACTATAAATTCTTATTAAGTACCGAAACCTTTTTACAGTGAATTATTCAGCATACAGTATGATATAATTTGTGTGAAAATGTTGATGCACATATAAATCAAATGTTGAACAAATATACTTCCAAGTGGATAGGTACCTAAATATTATACACTATAGAGTATAGGGTACCTATTATTAAAATTGAAATATATAATGCTTACTTATATAATTGTTATTATCTGTTCGGTTACTATCCAACCACTTAGTCATATGTTCATGCTTATATTGACATATTCCAACAGTTTCATTCCAAAAGTGAAATCTGTTCACATTAATTAATAATTTAAATACATATATATTATAATATATCCACTGATGTGTAAATAATTACTAAGGTATAAGACACAAAAAACGTAAAAAGCCCATATTGTATAAATTATAAGAAGAAAAAAAACGCTATTTTTGATTTAAAATCATACATTTTAAGTAGATAGATAAAATAAAAATAGGTATAGTACCCAAATGATAATTGATATGGAGTTTTTTTTTAATTTAATCTCTGTTAAGCAATATATTATTATCAAGCAATGCCTATCATCATGCCTAAATTAATCTTGTATTCTTGTGTAGGCAATAATAATAATTATTTTATTGGACTTTTTACCTTTTATAATTATATACTTGTATACTTTTCACACATGACATATTTAAAATAATTTCAAATTACACAGCACACTGGCATCGGAGTGTTGATAAATCGCAGAACATTGCTATATTCTCACACTGCGCTTCTTTAGTGCAACTTGTGTTAAACTTATTAGATATATTATAATGTTGTTGTCCTGAAATCAAAATTAATATAAATTTAAAACTAGTAAATTTGTTCGTTTATAGTATATACGAACAAATATACTATACTATAGGTATACATTCAGTACTAATTTGTACTATATAGCTATAGCCTGCAGGTGTAAAAACTAAATATTAACTAATCCATCCAGTGGAATTGCATAGTATTTTGGATTCCCAAGAACAAAATAGTTTGTTTATAAAATAATTTAACAGTGATATTATGTTTTGCAATTGGACATCGGTATTCAGTATGTTATTACTACCTATATAGAAAATATAGTATCTAATAGGTACCTTTGTGTTTATATGGTGATATACTTTTATAAAAAAAACACACCGTAGTTTACGAGATTATATAATATTATAGTTACCATCAAAAGATTTATGAATTATGTGAACCATACTGGTAAGAAAAGTGTTGAACACATTGGAAGAACCATTTTCATCATCCATGGTCAGCAAACTACAAACGAGTATGCCCTTCCTGAGTAGTGAGTACAAATAAAAAAGAAAACGACAATATTGTCCTTATATTAATAGACCTATGAGTTGAATAATTTTAATGGAGGACGTGCATTCATTAACATAATTAAAACAAGATGCAAGATAAACAAAAACAAACATGCCAAACAATCATTAATTATAATAATAATGAAATGATAAAATATATTAGACGGTTATTAGCCTATAGGTAAAACTTAGACATAAGTACTTAAAAACTTGAGTAATTAATATAAATAACATTTTTAATTAATGAAAGATAGGTACATAGATAGGTGTTCGCAGCCCGCAGGTATGATTACTATAGGTAGGTAACACAGCAAGTACATTAGCTTAATAAAATTGGTAGGTATATTACATTCGAAGTACATTATACATTTTTTAACTATACATAAATATAGTTTAAAGTTGTCAGCCTATTAATTTAAATAACTAGGTAATTTATTAGGGTCTTACTGTCTCAGGTATATATTTAAATTTAATTACAATTGAAATTTTATATAATATAATATAGTTTTATTAATAATTATACCTACTGACATTTTTTTAACAGATCTCGAAGTTTTAACCTAATGCATTTTTGTTAATTTTTTTTCTTACCTAAGAATTTATTTTCAAAAGTGATGTTTCCTGATTTTAGTTTTATTGTTATTCAACTTCCATTCTATATATTTGTTGTGACCTTATATAAGAATAGCATAAAATATTAAAATGTTAGTCATATCTATAGACATATTTAAATTTTAAGTAGGTATTTAACATATATAGCGTCTATATATATATATATTTCTTAATGTATTTATCCAAGTAAAAGCCAATAGGTAGGTATAATGGAGTTTATACCGGAATATCCAATTGTTGTCAATGACAATATGTATATTTGCCACAATAAATAATCAAAGGCCCCACTCCGGTCTACGATCTCAATCACAACCCTAATAGTCTACATTCTACAAGTCACAAGTGTCTAATTATGCTCCACGTAAATTGACCTCATACTGACATTATTTTTTACGAAGAACACCATCGTATTAAATTTCATAGTAGTCTGTGTATTTGCATTCTACTGGAGGATAAATATTTTTATATTTTACATAGGTCTTTGTTAGGTGCCTATTAAAATTAATAAACTATTTTCTAGCACAAACTTTACCTCTCTATAATATTAGTATAGAACTATAGAAGTCATTTTGAATGACAACAGTGATAATTTTTTGAATAAACATAGCAAATATTGTTACCTATGCAAACTCTCCTATAATATTTAAATTTAAGGAAATTAATATCTATATTTTAATACGATGGCACTTTGTATGTCGCACCAATTTCTTCGCTTATATAGGTACATAATATAATACATAGGGGGGAAATGTATACATAATTGGAAAGGTATTGTCAGGTAGTTGTACAAAAAAATGTTTGCAAATACTAAAGTTGCGTCTAACGCAGGTAAAATAGAAAAATAGGAATACACCAGTGACCACCATTTGTCAGTGAAAAGAATTTAAAAAGTGTTGCTGTACACTTTGCTTTCCTACATGAGGTGGTTTTGCTCAGCAAGTCGGGGGATATTTTTGATTAGAGGAGCGGAGCGACGGCGACGGCGCCGAGGAGCGTAGCGACGAGTGCCGCTAGCATAGCATAACTGACACACTTTATCAATGAATTGATCATTTAAATTGCATGTCTGAGCATTTCCCTCCTAAAGTGAATTATTAATTATTGCTAGTTTTTATAACAGTTTTTTTACAATTTTTACGGTGGTCGCGATAACCGACAAGTATCGCCGAGGGATATTGCGATACCGAGTTGTAAATTGTAATATTGTGTTAATTTGTTTTATTAGAGTTATCAATGTTTGGAAGATGAAGGATTTGTTCACTTTACGGTGAATCAGTCTATTCAATTCAAAAATCCGGAAACAGGAGCTCACACAAATAATGTTGAGGGAATGTGGCGTCACGCTAAGGCTTCGTTTTCTTAATATTGTCGCAAAAAACGATTTTATGGTGGATATTTAGCTAAATATATGTTTCTGAAAAGGTGTCGTATACTAAATATCGAACCTCTGACGGAATTTTTTTAACTTGCTGGTGAGCTGTATGACCCAAAAGCGATACAAGAAAATTATTTATTGGTAAGTGATGATGAAGCGTCTTATGAAACGGATGGAAGTGACGAAGATTTATAATGTAATATATTGACAAAATAAAAAAATTTTTGTTTTCTATTTTTTGAATTTTTAAACAGCAAGTAGGTACGATAATTAAAATCTTTATGCATATTTCCATCCATCATAAAAACATACAATTAAAAAAAAAAATCAAAATGTAGTTTTTCGATGTTTTTATCGTAGATATCACGTATTTTTGAAGAAATTACTATTTTATAGTTTTTTTGGTATAACTTCCAAAATAATGATTTGCGAGAATTTTGGAATTAGAATTATGTATTCAGTGCTTTATAACACAAATTGGGGGGGGGGGAAATCGAAAAAAACACATGGGAACTAAACTGCATTTGTTCCGAAGTTATCTACATAATGTATTACAGTGAGTGCAAGTCATCCATCGTCCACAAATATAAAATCCAAATGCGCCCCAGTAAAATTTGCCTTATCAATGCAATGGATAACATCCCAATAACTTCAAAGGATGTCAAATCTTCAAAGAAATTAGGTACTCATCTTAGAAATGAAACCCAGAACACCGATCACTAAAATAAAATTACCTAGCATTTAATAATAAATAATAATGTACTCTTAAATCTGATACTTTCATCACTAAAAAATGTGCACATTTTAAAAATATATTCAGATTTCAGATTACTACCTATAATTGGTTTATTTTTATATTTTAATTTTAAAGCAGGTTTGTGAGAATTATGACGCCGAAGCCGAATTAAGCCGGCCAAGTGCGAGTCGGACTCGCGCACGAAGGGTTCCGTACCATTATTTAATGTCTGTTATAATGCCTGTATAATTTTGTAACTTAAAACGATTCACTATAATTCTGTATTGAAATTTATAAAACGAATCTTTGTATACGACGTCACTCATGGCAACCATTTATTAACAATACGACGTCACTCGTGGTAACTATTTATAAACAAAAATTTCCATCTGAAATATCAAAATTCACGTTTTAGCACCCCACGGGGTTGCTCCTATCCCTTTTTTAGTATTTGTTGTTATAGCATCCACGGAAATACATAAACTGTGAAAATTTCAACTTTCTAACTTTCATGGTTCATGAGATACAGCCTGGCGACAGACGGACAGCCGAACGAAAGTAATAGGCTTCCGTAGGGAAACGTACGGAACCCTAAAAACTATGTCAATGACTAGGTAATATTCTTATTTCAAAATTTGGTAATAGGTCAATTCACATTAAAATTAAACAAAACAGAGTTAAATTAATTATTCAAAACATACATTTTGCTATTTTCTGCGTTTGTAAGATGGAGACAACGCATGCAGGTATGGCCTACATTTTAACAATATAATTCAACTTGTTATGGCAAGTATTGAATTTAAATTTTTTTATTGATAGGTTCATTAAAAAACTAAATTTTTATATTATATTCTATTTGTATAAATGGTTAAATAATAATTTTTTTTTTTTGAATATGTGGTGTCTGATGTATTAGTAAAAGTAATAGATATTGAATATTTGAATTTAAGATAATATTTGGTATAATAGGATTGTTAACACGTTGAATGTGTACTGACGCAAATTGGTGACATGAGGATCAATCAGCAACGCGTTTGACGTCCAATATACCTTTTAAGTAAATGGTTTATTATTCCCTACATGTAGCTGAATATATTTTTATTAATATTTAGAGTGGATTAAACACATGTTTTGAAAAATGTATACAGACGTCATTACGAGCAGTTTCTTTATTTTTTTAGAAGTCTTTTGTTTTTAATTATATCATACACACCGGGTGAAAACTGCAAAAAGACATACACAGTCAACGCGCCAATAGTAATTATTTAATTTTAAAATATAATAACATTTTAAACAAATTTTATATTTTATATTATCATGGTAAAATAAAATTGTCAATCATTGTTCTTTAATTCGTCTTGAATACCACATTTCAAATTGATTGGTAAAGCAACATCTGAAAATAAAATAATATCACACACACTGTAAAAATATGATAATTCATTATATTTTGAGTTGAGTATATTATATATTAAATTTGCAACCAACCAATTTTTTTAGGATACGCTAAATTTAAATTGTTCATCAATTCAATAAATTCATCCAAAGACTTTGAGAGGCGTGGATTATAAGTCTTTTCTTCTCCAATTGTTGAAACGGTTTGTCCTAAAATAAACATTAACATAGGTTATAACTTATAAGGTATAACACATTATAATATAATACCCTACTAAGGCCCTAGGTATTAATGACAATTACATTTTTATTTTTATGAATACCATGTCATCTAGTTTTATATTACCCATTATTTATATACTTATAAAAAGTAAAATATTTTGCATTTAAGTAATTTTTTTAATTATATGTAATAATATACTTTTTAAGTGTAGTAGTTAACATCTAGGCCTGATCCTTGTAGTAATCTATCACCAGGGGCGGATCTACAGCTTGTTTAAAGGGGTGGCGAGTAAGAATATATTTGAGTGATATATAAAGTACAATGAAAATTGTATTTTTATATTAATTATTAATTAACTTATATGAGTTCATATTATGAGAATCCAAGTTCAGTTTAAAATATTTTAAATACTCTGAACATACTACATACATTGATTGATAATAAAATTATTGTAATTAATATGATTAGTTAAATAATCTTAGTTAGAGTTTATAAATCTGAATTTTCTGAGTTGGCACACAAAAATATAGCGTTTTAAATCCAAAAGTAAAAAACTTTAAGTTTGGCATAAATATAGTTCAGCTTCTAAGCGTTTTTTGGATTTTTTTTTCTTCCAAATGAATGTTTTGCATGACTGTTATTTGATGGTACTTTCAAATGAATATTTTGTAGATTATGGTCAAAAAAACACTACTTCACTAGTTCTAAATAAAAATAATATTCCAATAATATTATGAAATTAGTACACAAGACATGAGGATGTATACTCCAAGCACGTTAAGAACACGAACAGTTAACATGGGAAAAAGCGGGTTTTAGAAGGCATAATGGTCATTCTATTAACATTTATATATAGGATATGGATATATAGGCATACTACACTTTTTTAAAATACAAATATTAATTTATAGTGTACTAATGTTTCAAGTACAATAACTTACAATCTATACATTGAACATATACAAAACTATTTTCAGAACATACCGGTATAATCATGTGCCGGATATACTTTATAATAATCGGGTAACGAAAATATTTGTTCATGAATAGAAGAATATAACGTTTCAGGATCTCCTTCTTGAAAATCAGTGCGTCCACAACCACCAATCAATAAGCAATCTCCAGTGAAGGCTATTGCTTCATCGTGACAAACAAATGTAATACAACCTAAACATCAGAAACATTATTAAGATAATATGATCACAACATAATGTTAATATAAAATAAATGATATTAATTGTAATTTGTATTACGTAAATGCAAACTATATAAAATGAAGAAATTATGAAGAAATAAGCAGAAAAATAATATAATTTTATTTAGCCTATACTTAAATCAAAGCCATAATTTAAAAATACTTCCATTTTCAAAGACTGAAAAATATCAATGATAATTATTTATAAACATTATTATTTATTTATTTTGTAAAAATGTTACTATAAAATATACATTATAGGTTTTAAAATGTATAATGTTTCTTGTTTACATTATACAGGATGATTTTATAGGCATGCACACCATATTCGTAAGCTTAAATTATGTAAATATTAAAATTCTGATTTTTAGAATTTTGAAATACACTTGACCATATTTTTTGTACCACTTAAGAATGATCCTGTGACAATACAAACTTCTATTTTCAAATAGGAACTCCTTTTTTGACTTTAAATTATTCAGTAGATAATTTTTTGGAGTATTTTGATGTATCTAAATCAACATTTGAGAGAGTGGTTTTAGAGTTATATAACTTACAGTACTTAGGACAATAAGTCTATGGCAATGGGTTAAGTAGATATGGGTGCTTAGATTATTTGAAAATGTTAGTAACAACTATTGATATATCAATATGAATAATTTGTAAAAATGGTCTAAGCATAATAAATACTACATCAAATATTACATAATATGTAGGTATACTATTACTAAATATTATAGTTTATACTTTTGTGAAACAATTTTTAAAAATTATTATCTTTAATAGAAATATTTCAATGACTCAGAAAATACTCATTAGAATATTGACTTAGATACATCAACATTTTCAAGAGAATCATCCACTAAATAATTTACAGTAAAAAATGGGGGTTCTCATTTGAAAAATAGAAGTTTGTATCGCCACAAGACATTCCTTAAACAGAATAAAAAAACATTATGAATTTGAATACATAGTTTTAAGGTATACTTAAAAATTCTAAAATCCAGAATTTCAATAAATTTATTATTTAACGGAAAAACGAGTGTGTACATGCTTAAAATATCACCATGCATATTATACTTTTTTGAAGCAGATCACAAAATATTTTGCAGTAACATTTAAAAAATATAGGTAAATATACCGAAATTGGTACAATTTATCAATTTTTCATTATAAATTATAATCAAGATTCTATATTAACAGAATTATTATATTACTTTTTATCAAATATTAAAAAAAAAAAATAATTCAATGAAAAAGTATTGTTACAAATTAATATTACTGATATATAATATAACCATAAAGAAAACAGTATAGGTCGTTGTGTGATAATGTAGATATACATAAAGTAAGGAGACCAATATGCCAAACCACCTTAATTGAAAAACGTCCCGAAAAAAACCAAACGGTTAAACTGCTTCTAGTAGTGTCTCGGTCTTAACTCGTAAACTAAAATAACTAGGTAGTATAGTAATTAATTATATTAATTCAGTTTTTTAAAAATAAATATTCAATATTTATCAGAACCTATTACATATCTTTTCTATAAAATAAGTGCATATAAATTATATGCATCATATTATAACATAAAGGTCGTATTGTAAGGGATTTTGCATTTTAATTATGATTATCTTCTTATAAAACACAAATATTGCTATATAAATGTTATAAATTAAGTAATTTATCCTTGCTTAAAAATCACATCTAATTTTAACTTCAATATCTAATATTTATTGCAATTTTACTGCATTGTTTGCATCAAGCAGATAATACTTGTAGAATGATTTTGAAAATACATTTTTATATGAAACTAAAAAATGTTATTATAGACCCTAGATGATAAAAAAAAAAATGTTTACTGTAAAAATTACGTTGAATCAATTTATAAGTATTCATTTATTGCAGTATATTTTTATTTTATTTAGCAACTAGCAGCAAAATGTATGTAAGCCATTTAAATTAGTTAATTCAAAATTGTACTTGTATGATTTTCTTGAAGCCTTACTGACAATATAATTTATTGTTGAAGTATTGACGTTTTAGTTTAAAAATTAAATTTATATTATAATACATAAATAGTTTTATTATCTATATTAAATTAATAAGAAATGTAAATTAGTTGAATACCATTTATAAAACTACTTAAGAGGACGCTACACAGATATTTGTTGTCTCAGTCTTATAAGTGTGTAATATAGCAAATTTATGCTACGTTTAACTCCGTTAGTTTAAAAAAAGAGTGAATCGACCTATTATGAAACTTAATGGGAAGAAATAAGAATATTATCTGTGTTTGAATATGGGCTTTTAAACTATTCAGTTTTTAACCTATACCTAGGCCCAGGAATATTCTACTCTTTACAATAAAACAATTTTTATCATCTATATAGGCACCTATAATTATGATTTTTTTGAATATAATATAATATACAATTCTACATACAAGTGTTATCTGTTGTGGCTGCTGACTGCTTGATGCAAACGTTGCAATAAAACTACTATAGATATTGAGTTTAAGAATGGATGTGATTTTTAAGGCAATGATAATTAATTCAATTTATTACTTTTATATTACTATAGCATTATCTGTAGTTTTCTAAGAACTAAGAAGATATTCTTAGAAAGTCATGAATGACGGTATATTATAATACAAATTCAAAATCTCAATTAATACATCCTAAATGTTACATCATACACATATTATGCATGCCTTTGTAATCTTATCACTCAATCTATTTGTAACAAATACAGTAATAGATTAAGAACAGAAGTATTGAATATTTACTTCAAAGTTCTAAAACAATATAATTAAATCGTAAATATGTACACCCAGTGGCAGTTTAATCGTATGGTTTTTCTCTTGAACATTTTTTGTCAAAGCAGTCTGGTCCCGTATCTTTAATGTATGATGCTATATACAAAAATTATAATTAAATTATGATAAACTGTATGCATTAATGCAATTATTGGGGTACCAAAATAATAAAAAGTTATACATTTAATGGTGTTTCAAGTAAAAAAGAATAAGTAAAGTTACTCTTAAAATATAATGATTATAATGAGTTTTTAATGAAGGACAAGTTAAGCACATTGTCAAATTTATTTTCAGAAACCATAAATAAGTTGTTTCTAATGAGAGTGGTTTAATAAAACTATATTGAACTCGTTAAAAGTTATAGGCAATAAAACAAAATAATCTTACAACTTACAAGTCAATTTAATCAATTTTATCCACACTCTATCCAATATTATGTAATACAAAATGTTATATAATATTTACCATTAGTATGCCCTGGAGTTTGTCGAACTTCAACGGAGTATCTTCCAAATTGTATTTCATCTCCTGATTTCACATATATATCTGCTTGAGCACCACTACATAGAGAAATAATACTTTCACATGATGGTATTAACTTTTTAAGTTCACCAGTTCCAGTCACATGATCAGCATGAACATGAGTATTGGCTTAAACAAAATTATGTATAAATTACATGTAATAATTAAAACATAAAATCAAGATATATTCAAAAAAAAAACAAAAAATAAATACCTACCACAGTACAAAAGATTCAAACCAAGTCGCTTAAGTATTGAATGATCGCGGTTCACCTGTTCGATAACTGGATCAATAATTATAGCTTCCTTTGCTACATAATCAGCCAACAGATAAGTGTATGTCCAAGATTCTTGATCAAACAACTATAACAAATAAAAACTAAAATTATCTTAAGTATAAAATATTTATAGATATAAATTTAAAAACAGAAATAACCTGTCGTAATACAAATGTATCTTGAGCAAGTCTACAGTTATTCATCACGGTTACTTTTGAAAATCCACCAAACAAATTTCCACGATTACGATTCTGTCTAAAAAGTTGGCTTTTAAAATTAGCTGCTAGCATAATTCCATTAGAGAAATATTATTTCTATAAAATAAATAATTAGTGTTAGTGACCGGCGAGTTTTAGTATACAAAAATGACTAACATGTCAAAGTGCCAGCTATAATAGATAAAGAATAATCATATTATATGATACATAAGGCCAAGGACAAATTTTATCATTATTGCTAATTCACATCTCACATGTACTTTGCGTTCAAAATCCTCTTTGACCAAAATATAATAATTAAAATATATTTGTGTACCTACCTTAATCTTATGGATGAATAAAATATTATTATATTATATTAGTTTAAGAAGTGAGTAAAGAGACATTTATACTTTTATAAGCTTTTCCAAAATAATGATTTCTTTGGTGTACAAACATATTATTAATGCCAACTATAAATTTCTCGAGCTGTGATTGTTGTGAATGTAATTTCGTTTGTCATTGTATAGGTACAGTTAACCTGGTCGTTAGTTTAAATAAAAAAGAAATCATTTCAGAATTTAATCTGTATTTACTATGATAACAATAAACAACACCTGTAGACACTAGACTGTAGTAGTATTGTTCTATGGTAAAACTATTACCATTAGTTATTACTATTAGTCATAGGTATCATAGGTAATAATATAAAGTAGGTAGATATACCACCTGACTAATATGTTTTATAATCTAATAAAATAAATTAGTTTAAAATAGACAATTTTATCATAAAATTACATCAACTAATTAGCAACCGACAATGAAAAGACAAATTCAAATTTCAATTGACTTATGATTAATGAATAATAAATTAAACATAAAGACTAAAATAATTGTTATACTAACATTACAAAGTACGTACAAACAAGCTGACAATAAAGGAACGACTCAAAAAAATAACCACACATTTGACATTTTGTAATCTGTATTCCGTAATCCGTATAGGTATTAGGTAGATATCATTTTTTGGAATTTGATTTTTACTTATGGCGGGAAATGTTTCGGATTTATATATATTTTTTATGATTACAAATTTACATAATATTTTAGAATTTATGTAATAGAATTAATTATCTACATAATAATATGTCCTGTATATTGGCCAATGAAAATGTATAAATATAAAATATTCCTATAGACGATTATATTATACTTAATAAATTATAAGTACTTTTACTTGGATATAGGGGTACCCCTTCGGCCTTCACAATCATCCATCACCATAGCTTATTGTTCAGTGACGTCACGATTTACGAACTATTATAGATAGATTTAAATAAATCTAATTTATTTCAATATTTTAATCCACTATTGGAAATTGCCATTTGGCATGACCAATTAGTTATTACTAATTAGTATAATCGCCACTATAATGTTATCAGTTTACAATTTAATAGTTAATAGTAGAATAGGTAGTAGGTGCATAATATTCATTAGACCATCATATTATCTTATATATTCTATCGTTGATTAGATTTAATAATAGTACCTATATTATAATATTGATTATTTACTATAGAATTAGATAAATGTATGTTAACATGGCCCATAGGTCTAATGTCTAAACAAATATAAAATCTTAAGTATTGTATTTGATTTATTTTTAAGTGGTATTAATTTAAGATATGATTTATTTATCTTTAATTATATTATGAATTATAATTCATTATATATAGCAACCGAGTCATAACATATTACAGTACTATAATCTTATTTTGGAAATTGAAATCCAAAAATTATAACTTATAATAAATGTCAGGTAATAGTGACGGTCAACCGAGGGGAGAGATCCCTGCATGACTTCTTTTCATAGATATATATTATATATTTTAATAATATATATCTATGCTTCTTTTTCAATGTTACGATCTGATAACCATAAATTATATTTTTAATACATCAGATATTAGTATATTAGGTACCTACCTAAAGTACTTATTTTTTAGGTTATTATTTAAAATAATAATAAAAAATAAATAAAACCTTGATGGGAATACACAAAATCGTGAACTTTGAAACTAAGCCCGACCGACAAATTCTGATTACATGTAATGTTGCACAATAAATTGTTCTTAACTCGTTGAAATACACAAATTTCCAAAAATCGCCTTGGAGCTAATCTCCATTTATGCCAGTTTTTCTTCTAATTCTGCGAATGTCTGCATGAAATAATACGGAATTTTCGTGGATTGAGAGGGAATCCAGTAACATTTATGCAATTTTCATGTGTGGCCTTTTAAACATTTTCTATACATGCAACAAAAAGTGTCTTTCCATTCCTGTACTTAAGTACACATTTATAGGAACATTTAAAATGCTTATATTTATCCAATACCATGCCTAGTTTTTATTATAAGAAAAAATAACTGCGACCGGAGCCGAAAGGCGTAGGGAGCGACCATACTAATTTTACTTTCATACTCATAGGCGCGGGAGTATAGTGTGATCAAATATATTGTGGGGGGGGACTGCAAAAACTATTAATAATAATAAAAAAAAAAAAACTATAAGCTAAATGAAATACAAATAATGCTGGGAGGGGGGAGGGGGGTGATATACATACTGAGGGGGATAAGCCCCCAAGCCCCCCTATCTACGCCTATGTTCATACTTTAACTTACTCTATATAATACTTAAACGGTATTATAGATCTAGTTTACCGCGCGGCCCAAGCACGTTTTCCAATTTTTTTTTTCAAAATGTGTGTTTTAAGGCACTGAACTTGAATATGTTTGAAAAAATGTTCGCTCTTTTTTATTACGGAAATTATACCAAAAAAACCAGAAAATAATTGAATTTTTTAAAACATTGTGGGTAACCTCGATAAAAATAACAAAAAATTACTTTTTTGACTAATTTTTTTTTTTTGAAAATGTGTGTTTTGGTACGCTTAAGCTTTTGAATTAATCACATTTTCCCTATTGTACTTACTTTTGATGGTATAGCAAAAAAACCGGAAAACAATAAAATTGATTTTTAAAAATATCATAATATCCTCGGTAAAAAAACCAAATACTACTTTTTTAAAAATTTTTTTTTTAATGTGTGTTTTGATATGTCTAAGTTTTTGATGCAATCACATTTGGTATATAAACCTATACTTTACCGGACACCCATTTTTAAAAAAAAAATACGTGGGTTTTTATGCTGCATTCAAAAGTGTTTGAAAAAATTTCCGGAAACTTACAGTTCAAAAGTTATGGAAATTCAAAGTTGTCGATATTATGAAATAAACTTTTGAATGGACGAGCGATTGACCACGCTGTCAATAAATGTACTTAGAAACAATATTGAGGAAAACCGAGGTTTACCTGAGGTGTTTTACATAGCAAATAGGGGTTATTTTCGATTTGCGCGGATCGGAGTGACGGCGCTGAGTGCTGATACACGAGTAATCACTGCAACTTTGAATTGCCATAACTTTTGAACGGTAAGTTTCCGGCAATTTTTTCAAACACTTTTAAATTCAGCATAAAAAACGACGTATTTTCAAAAAAAAAAAAAAAAAATTGAAAAAAAAAGGGTGTCCGGTAAAGTAGGTTTATACCAATGTGATTGCATCAAAAACTTAGACATATCAAAACATACATTTAAAAAACAAATTTTTGGTTATTTTTACCGATAGGATACCATGATATTTTTAAAAATCAATTGTTTTCCTGTTTTTTTGCTATACCATCAAAAGTAAGTACAATAGGGAAAATGTTATTAATTCAAAAGCTTAAACGTACCAAAACACACATATTATATATTATTATATTATTACACAATTATTTTCCGGTTTTTTTGGTATAACTTCCATAATAAAAAAGAGAGACAATTTTTTCAAACATATTCAAATTCAGTGCCTTAAAATACATATTTTGAAAAAAAATAAAAAATTTGGAAAACGAGCTAGTTTAATTTGACAAAAAAAAAAAATAAAAAATGTTGGGTACCTTGAGAAATTATAAAATTGCATGTAGATGCCAACTTTTAATATTTTTTACATTATTAATTAATCAATTAATTATTATAAACTTTTACAAGATGATGTAGGTAACTCAATTATTTTTAATTTAATGAACTAGCTGAATCAGCAAAGCGATTAAATAGAAAATATAAAAGTAAATTGCGCGGGAATTTTACTAAACTGAACATGGCGGATATCATCATTCAGTAGCTGCAGTCAGTCATAGACACGAATTAAGATATATACCTTATATATACCTATTACCATTTACCTTATAATATCTTAAGAGGATGTCAGGCGTCAGCGCATTTATTTTCTCTCTCTGGCCTACGCGCAACATAGACAAAACGCATTAACGCAGAATCATTTTTTCTATGTTTTTAAGTAATCTTCGAGCAAAATCACCTTTCACAAAAAAAATTGAGAATAATATTTTTGAGGGAATGACATATCGATTTTATATTTTATTGTTATTTGACTTTGTATTTAACTTTCGAAATAAACAGAAAATGTTGTAAATTTAAATTGTTTTGTGACAATATTTAGACAAATCGATATGTCATTCCCTCAAAAATGTTATTCTCCATCTTTTTTGTGATGGGTGATTTTACTCTAAGATTACTTAAAAACATGGAAAAATGATTCTGCGTTTATGCGTTTTGTCTATGTTGCGCGTGGGCCAGAGAGAGAAAACAAATAGTGCTCTGAGTGCTGACATCCTCTTAATTCGTGGTCATAGACCCACAGACCTATAAACTATAATGGACAGAGCTTAGAGAGAGGTCAGCGGTACGAATGGTACGATAAAGAGAAAAGAGAAGGTGGGGGAAATACAGGGTTAGTTTCATAGGTCTATGCATAGGCGCAAATAGGGAGGGGGGATTTAGGGGCTTAGCCCTCCCAAAAATGTCCATAGCCCCCCCAAACATTTCCTACATTTTGTTTTAAGCTTATTCAATATTATCAAAGTAAAGCTTTAGCCCCCCCCCCCAATCCAAAACGCTATTTTTGAGCCTATGATTACTACTTTATATTCTTTCTCTCTTTTCTCTCTTTGTTCTTTGTTCTTTCTTTATCTTATATGATTCCCGTGCATTTAAGGCAGGAAGTAGTGGAATGTGCGCTGTCCAATTGTTTATAGGTCTATGCTCTAATTAGTAATCGTGGTCATATAAGCCCGGGTCGGCTACTCTTTTTTTGAGTTTTTTATTATCTATGGTTATTGGTTGTATAATCCACGGCTATAGCCGGTATCTATAGTCGTGGTATAATCACAGAACAATAATCTAAGACCGTGGTTGTAGCAATTCGTATTTTGATTTTTTGTAGCATCACTGTCTAGTATAATTTAAAAAGTGATAAGAACATTTTAAACATAAACAATTTTATCTATAAAAATATTTTTTATGATTTATGGTCTATACTCTATATTGTAGACTCTACTTACTGCTTGATAGTTGGTTCAGACAGTACAGTACTTACTACAATTAATAACACGTTTTTTGATATTTGTTTATATTAACTGTGGGTATGAACTTTACAAATGAATAAGATAAACTACAGTTATCTGTAATTGTAGGATATTATAGTTATCCAATAATACATTGCTGTGTTTTTCATCATGAAAGTTTGTAAGAATTCAAATACTTAATTCTCTATTTTTTAATAATCGAGGTTAACTATTTATTTCATGCCTTTTTTTTTTATTATTTTTATCTTAGAACTTGAAGTTAATAAGATCAGTATGGAATCCATTTCAACATCAGTTCCACCAGATATTCCAAACTCCGATGACAGTAACTATAAATATATAGATGGTGTATGTTTTTATACAGATCCAAGTACTAAGAAAGAGTATACTTGGAATAAGGAAAAAGGCACTTGGGCGGAGAAAGGCTTTGAAAACTATGAATATGATGAAATTTGTAAAACATACAAATATACGGATAAACAATCAAGTATTTATGTTCTATTTACATTAAGATATAAATAGAGCTTATCAAATGGAAAATACTGTTTTCTAGCCTGCACACTTATAATTGTTGTTGCTATAAATATAAATTACGATATCTAACCAATAAATTGTTATTGTTAATTCCAAAAAAAAATATCCAGTAAACTACATTTATACCAATATTTTAATTATTATTTAATTTTATAGGTAAACAATTAAATGTTAATTTGCAATTAAATATTATTATTTCAGATATGTCATACATGTGGGATCTAAAGTCTAATAAATGGGAAGTACAAAAAAAGGAATCCATAAGTTTGGTAGAAGACAAAGATTTTGATGATAATAATGATGGAGAAGAATTCGATGATGATGATGAAAAAGGAAGAACTCTGCGTACAGTAAAGCGGCAAGATATGAGTAAAGGAAAGTATGGACATGATGGTATTACTCAAACATATACTGATCCAGCCGACGGAACAGTTTATATTTGGGATAGAGAGAAAAACGCATGGTTTCCTAAGGTATATTATTATGATTTTTGCTTACTATATTCTGTATTCTTTGAGCTACAATTGGCTAAATTAAGTAACAAGCGTACATTTTACTAGAGTATACAGGGGCGTACTGGCCAGGTGTGCTTGTGTGCCGTAGCACACCGGGCCGGCATATATGTGTGGGCCGGGCCACCGGGGCATTTGAAATTTTGAACATTTGACAATATTACTAATTAATAAATTTAAATTTATTTTTAAATACAAAACAGTTTAAAAACCATTGCTATTGGTTGGTACAATGCTACAATAACTTCATAGTCAAACCATAAGTTTTATCCACAAAAATGTTTAAGCACTTTATCTGATTTGGTTAGTACATCGACCGCCAGAAAGTTATTGCTAAACTAAAACCATCGAACCATTTGCAAATATTTATAAAAGTACTGTAGGTTTCTTGAGAAAGAGATTTGTAATAAAGTGAATTTACTGTTTGTACTTTTTTTATATTAAAAGTAATGATTAATAATATCATAATACGACAATTCTGAAACTGATGAAGATGATTTTGGTTTAATACAAGTATGAATGGTGACTATAAAATAAATGATAAAAACAAAAGTAAACAAACATCAAAAATATCAAAAGAATTATAAATTTATGATTCTTATAAAATATATAATAATTAATATAACCTATTGGCTATTGTCTATTTATAATTTATACCCGAAAAAATAGGTATTCATAAAGAAGCTGTTATAAAGGGGCTTGGGCCGTTTAGCTTTGTAGAATACTGGGCTGTTTACCACCCAGTCCACCCCTGGGTGTATACATAGAATACAGACTTGTAGAAAGTTCCACGTCATTCCCAAACTCCTGAATATCTAAATGTGCTTTTCATTAGAACATTAGAATACAACTCTCAGATAAGCTCTTCTCATAAGACTCATATTTTTATTGATATTTATATAATTATAATAATTAAAAAGGTGGGCAAGTGGGTGTCGCTCTGCTGTACAGTAGGTTACAAGTGGGTCACTGTATAATGGATGGTATTAAATTTGAATTCAATGATATAATATCATTGTATAAGAAAAACGATTCTGAGCGGTGATGGTATGTCAGTCTATGTATAAGGCATATTATATACATATCTATGGTATTAAACAAAAATGAAAAAATTGACCTATAATAGGTACCTATAATAAATTCCAAATTAATCATATCACAATATCCATTAGATACTTATAACGCGTTATACATCAACAAAAACCGTGATACTATCATAGATATATAATAGTACACTTTAGAAGTTTCAAGTACCCACGAATAGTATTATTCAATCACAACAAAATAACTAAAATCGTAATTCTTGGTTTAAATATGAAATTTTGTCTAAATTTGAAATTAAAATGTCTGTAAAAAATAAGTGTGTTTATATATTTTTTAGATTTTTTGGTTACAGTATGAATTATTTAAGAGAATCTTTGTTTTAAATTTTCAACTCTTAGTTATAAAAACTGAACATTTTATAATTTTTTAATTCCAACGATTGATAATTTTCGAGATTTTGATAAATTTTGTCAAAATTCCAACTTTAAATGCTTATAAAAAAAAATCGTGCCTATGTATTTTTAATATTTTTCAACTGATATTATAACAATATATCAGGAGCCTTGTATTAAATTTTTACACTTTTTGGCCCAACAGATAAAACTTTATTGATATTTATAGAAAAAAAAACTAAAAAAAATTGAAAGCTGTAAATGTCCATAAACAGCTCAAAAAGAGTCAAAATATTTTCAAAATTGTATGGTGTATATGAAATGCTAATATAAACATTCAGTGAAATTTTCATGTATCTACAGTTATTCGTTTTTGAATTACAACAAAATAAGGAAATCGCTACATGAGAAATCGAGTGAAAATCCAATGTTGTAAAAATTTGAATTTCAAACGCTCATAAAAATTTAATTTGACTGTCCGGTAGAGATTTTTTTATTGATAAAGGTAGATAATCTTATAAGGAATCTTGTGTTTCATTTTCAAATCTTAGATTTAAAAAGAAAAATTTTTACGAATTCTTAACTCAAAATAATTTGCTAATTTTCGTGATTTTTCCATATTTTGTCAATTTTTGAACTTTAAATGCTTATAAAAAAAAATTGTGACTAAGGATTTTTAATATTTTTCATCTGCCTTTGAAACAACATATTAGGAGCCTTCTATTAAATTTTCAAGCTTTCGCAACCAACAAATAAAATTTTATTGATATTTCTAGAAAAAAAACTAAAATAAAATGAAAAATGAAAATGTCCCTAAACAGTTCAAAATAAATCAAAATATTTTGAAAATGTTATCGTGTATAGAAAATGCAAATATAAACAACCAGTGAAAATTTCATGTATCTACGGTCATTTGTTTTAAAGTTACACCAATAACCAAATTCGATTTTTTGGGAAATCGATTTTGCGTAAAAATTCCCGTTTTTCCTTAATTTTTATGTTGTTTTTTCCCGGCGCTTGTGAAAACTACTGGAAAATGTTTACTTTTGACCCCCCAAAGTACCAACTAGATTCACTTTCCTATCAGAAAAGGTACTATTGAAGAAAATCGAAGCACTTTTACTGTCCCAAAACGTGATGACAGACACAAAAATATAAATAAAAATATAAATAAAAATATAAATAAAAATATAAATAAAAATATAAAAATATAAAAACATACATCATTGTAAAACCAATACATTCATCGCTCCGCTCAGAATCTAAAATGCAGATCAATAGGAATAATTGGAACTTAATTTATAATAAATAAAAATAATAACTATCTTCTAATAACTAAATTATTATATATCATTATGATATTATATGGTTCACTTTATTATAGTCGATTCACAATTTAAAATGGATAACAATTAATACTTAATGGTAATAAACTAATAAATAATAATAGTTAAGGCGTTGGGCTAGGGGTCCACATTTAATAACTAAATAGTAAATACTAAATAGTACTAAATGAACACAATTGTCCACCTACTCATTACTTCTCAAACTCATGTGTATTTATGTGTGAAGTTTAAATTTAAATGTAAAAAAGTGGGTAAGTGGATGTCGCTCTGCTATACAGTAGGTTACAAGTGGGTCACCGTATAATAAATGGTATTAAATTTGAATTCATTGATATAATATCATTGTATACAAAATCGATTCTGAGCGGTGACAGTTTGTCAGTGTGGATATTTTGTATTATATTTATATTGGTATTACTTATTATTAATACGGTAGCCGGTAAGTTGAATTTATATTATAAAATTACAACAAAATAACTAAAATTAAAAAACACATAAACATAAAAATAATAAACATAATTAAACATAAAATAATTATAAAAAAAACTGTGTTTTTATATTTTGAGATTTTTTGGTTACAGAATAACCTACTTACGTAGAACCTTGTTGTTAGTTTTCAATCCTTAGCTATAAAAGTTGAACATTTTATAAATTTTTAACTTAAAAATAATTATTAAATTTTAAATTTGATAAATGATGTCAAGATTCAAAGTTTAAATGCTTATTAAAAATAATTGTACCTATATTGTAGCAATGAAAATGTAATACAAGGCTCCTATATATTGATATCAGAAGCCTTATATTACATTTTCACGCTTTTTGACCCAACGAATAAAATTGTATTGACATTAACAAAAAAAAAAATTTAAAAAAATTTAAATTATACGTAAACAGCTCAAAATGTATCAACATTTTTTCAAAATTTTATATTGTATAGAAAATGAAAATATAAATATTCAGTGAAATTTTCATGTATCTAGAGTTATTTGTTATTGAATTACAGCAAAATAAGGATATCAATACATGATTAATCAAGTAAATATGAAAGTTGTACAAATATGAAATCAAACAATCGTAAAAATTTAATTTGATCATTTTGTAGACATTTTTTTTTTTTTGATAAAGGTAGACAAACTTATCAGGAATCTTGTATTACATTTGCAAATCTTAGATTTCATGAGGAAAGTTTTTATGAATTTCTAGCTCAAAATAATTTGCACATTTTTGTCGTTTTTACGTATTTCCGATTTTCCTTAATTTTTTATTTGTTTTTCTCGGCGCTTTTAAAATTTACTAGGAATTTTAAAATTTGTCCTCCCTAATGCAAAAACAATATTCACTTTCTCATCAAACAAGAATCAAAGCATTTTTTCAACCACTTATCATGTACACAGACACAAAAAAAAAAAACAAAACGCACATCATTGTAAAACCAATACATTCATCGCTCCGCTCAGAAACTAAAATCCAAACTGTATACAAACTATGGAGTTTGCAATATTGATCCTGCACAATAAAGAAATCTATAGAAATGCCATTTATCACTATTTGGTATTTGTTAATGATATATTAAATAAGATACCATTTTTTTTTTTGATATTTATTTATTTACTCTAGAAATCATAAATAGTGTTCCACTTTATGTCTTTAGTCTTTATAAATGCACTTTCAAAGTTTAAAAACCTTTTAACTTGAAATTTAGAATTTTCTAATTTTCATATAAATTATAATTTTGGTTTAAAATTTAAATATTTAGAATAATTAATTTTAACTTTTAAATGCGTTCCTGTATTGCACGTTACTATTATAACTAGAGAGCTGATTTTTATGCACTAAATAGTATTGAAATATGCCATAATATAATAAACAGTAAAAATCATAAAAATATGCAAAAAATATATTAAGTTGATGCAGTTATATTTTTAGTTTCCAGTTTTTTATGACTAAAACTTTATAGTATTAACCAACTGACACAGCAAGAGCGATTATTTATTTTATCTTTGTATAAATTATTATTAAGTGCCTATAAAATTTATTTTTAATTTTTCTACTCTACAAAATATTATTTTATGAATTTTTTTAACTTTTTGCTTCAATATGCAATAAATTTTGAATTTTTCCAAAATATACAAAAATATGCAGATATATGTAAAAAACAATTTCACCATTAGTTTCAAATTATTGGAGATAACTGACAAAAATCCAAAAATATGAAAAGGAAAAAAATATGCAATTGCATAGAAATCCGCTCTCTAATTATAACTTATACCTTACCTAACTTATAAGTTATAAGAATGTAACTATATATAAAAAATAAAAAAACCAAAAACAAAATTATCAAAAACGTTATTTGGAAATAATATAAAAAACTTAATAATCCAAAACGTTTTAAAATGTTATCCAAAAACTAAAAATGTAAATTGTTTACCATTCCGGATTAAAAAAATCATCCTCTAAAATGTACAAATTGAACGGATCTTATAAAATATTTGTTTTCTAAAAAAATGCATTGTAAAACCAATGAATTCATCAGCCTCTTTAGTATATAAAATAAAATATTTTTGATTACTATAATATAATATATGCATTATTATAGTCTTGTGAATAATTGTGTATATTTATATTTATTAACATTGTGATTGATTTTATTTAATATTGTGGTAGATTGATGATGATTTCATGGCCCATTACCAACTTAGCTATGGATTTAATTCAACTGACAGTTCTACTGTAAGTGTAAATAGTACAAACACATTAAAATCAAATACTATTGGAGCTCAAAGTAATGAAAATCAATCTGAACCTACCTTGAATGCTTCAGATGTAGTAATTGAACCTGAAAAAAGGAAACTTCCGCAGCCTTCTGAACCAAGTAAATAAAAATAAATATACTTACAGTTTGAGGAAAACAATTTATTTAATAATTGTTCTAACTTATTTATAGATTGGTTTGAGATTGATGAAGAGCATAACACAAAAGTATATGTCTCAAATTTACCACTAGATATAACCGAACAGGAATTTATTGATTTAATGCAAAAATGTGGATTGATCATGAAAGATATTGACAGTGGTCAAATGAAAATTAAGCTTTATACTGAGAGAGGCACAGACATTCTTAAAGGAGACGCTCTATGCACATATATAAAGGTATTAAACGTTTTTAATATAATAATATTACTAAATACTAATACAGTGATTGACATTTTGATCATTAACATATTTTAACAAATTCAATAATTTCTTATAAATAAATTAGACAATTTTATTTATTTTTGAAATTTATATCACGTTTATGATTGATATAAAATGTACCTATTACTGTTAAATTTTAGTTTATTGAATATTGCTATTTTTTTGATGTTTTGGTAAAAATGTAGTTTATTTAGCCAAAATGTTAATTACATACTTGTGTCTTTTCTTGTCTATTTAATATTAAACCTATAAAAATGTATTTGAATGCACTGTGCAAATAATTTGTACTTTGAAGATTGCATATTGTTATGTCATAATTTTTTTTACTATGTTACAATTTTGTATTATACATTTTAAGGTTACATTTGTGGATATTTTCTAATTTTTGAAAACATTCCTTGTAATTTTTATGTATATCAGTACCATAGTAAAATATCTGTACTTTTAATACACTACTTGAAGACTTTGTACATCCCAAGATATTTTGTAAAGAATGTAGGGGTAATAATATATTACTTTTGTATTCAACCATGTATATTAATACTTTATTTCATATAAGTCAACCAAGTTTTTAAATGATAAATATTTAATTTTATAATTTACGATTATGGGGCTAGTGAATATTTTGTCCTACCATAAAAAATAAATGTTTAGTAACCTTACAAGAACTTAAATGACAACTATTTACACACATTTAGCACTCATTCTGCTCTAAACTGGTGGTTTACATGTAGTTTGCATTGTCGTAAGTATATAATTTTAGAATTTGTTAGATAATAGTTGAATACCTTAAATGTTATAAATAGGAACATCTTTGATATTATTAAAATTATTTATTTAATATGTATCTCGTATACTGCATTTAAAATATTATATATTTTTTTTATGAATAGGTATTTAATTAATATTCCTAAACTGTATTATTCATACATTCTGGTTGAGGTTTTGTTTCACATATAAAGTTTTTTTTTTGTAAGCAGCTTTGTGCATTCCATTTGTAGTCAATATTTGGATCTAGTGATATACACTGCCATTGATCATTTCGGTTATTATCAAAATGTTGTATAGTTTCAAATCTGTTGTATCGAATTTTACGACCTGACGTTGCCCATTTCCATTGGTCTTGGCTCCAATCATAAATGCCTCCTATCCATCTTTCTTTTGTTTCTAAATAATACAAATAAACAGATATAAAATGTTTAGATTAATTATAATTATATTATTTGGATTTAAATTTAAAATTATGTTCAAGTTCAACTAAATATTTATTTTTATCTATCACACTATTAAAGTGTTTAACTTTAATTTAGTAATCTAATATCTAGAACAGAAACAACCAACAAATACGTAATACATAGTAAGTAAATAGGGCCTGGATGTTTATAACTTTTTCATCTTTTCTGGAACATCATAGGACATAGATGATGCTTTTCTAGCTTAAAATGCCGTGTTTTTTTAACATATAAATCTATATAACTAATTTTAATTTCTAATTTACATTTTTTTTGTTTTTTTTTCTCGTTTTGTCATTTTTTTACTTTTAAGAGGACATCATAGTCGTACCCCCATATTATGTTGTCTCTGTCTTACTAACGCATAATATACCTACCAAAATGTACGTTCAGCAGTTCCAATTGTTTATTGTTAGCTTAAAAGTTAGTATAAGTGAAGGACTAAGATATAAGATATCTTAGTTTGTGGTGTGAATATTGACCTATTATCAAATTTAAATGTAAGAATATTATCTGTGTTCTCTCGTAGGTCTTTTACGATATTTTAATTTTTAACAGAATTATGAGCATTTTTAAATATTAATATTTTACATTACTCATAACTCACTTTAAAAATAAAAATATTGTATAAAACGAACGAGAGAACACAGATAATGTTCTTACATTTAAGTTTGATAATAGGTCAATTCACTCCAGTATTTCAGTTAACAACACGAAATTAGAAATGCTGGACATATATTTAGATACATTATGAGTAAACGGGAAAAATGGGGATACGACGCGGCGTTCTCTTAGGGTTATTTTTTAAAGTTTAGAGCATTTTTTAATTATTTTAACAATTGAGAACAAAATTACGAGTTAATTATTTGTCGTTATTAAATTTTTATATTTATCTCAAATCGAAAAAAACCTATTTTATTAGGTCGACTTTATTACGTATGTTTATAAATTGTACTTTTAGTTTCTGAGTGGAATGATGAATATATTGATTTTACAACGATGTGTGTTTTTTTAATTATTTTTTTTATTCTTTTTTGTGTCTGTCATCACCTTTTAGGACAATAAAAGTGCTTGGATTTTCTTCAACAGTATCTTTTCTGATAGGCAAGTGAATCTAGACGGTACTTTGGGGGGTCAAAAGTAAAAATATACTAAGTAATATTACATTTAGGCTATTTGCACCTATTGCGCCTATAACCCTGGTTATTACTTATTATTAGGGTCTTTAAGTTGAATGTTGATGCACTAAAAATTCTATAAAAATGCCCTAAAAAATTGCATTTATTATATGACATACCACTAAAAATTACCTAAAAATGTTTATACCTATGTTAATGACCTAAATAATTAAATGATGCTCATAAAACTGTACTCTGCTGTACAGTAGGTTAAAAGTGGGTCACTGCATAATGGATGGTATTAAATTTGAATTCAATGATATAATATCATTGTATAAGAAAAACGATTCTGAGCGGAGACGGTATGTCAGTCTACTCGTCTAGGTATAAGACATATTATATACTTATCTATGGTATTAAAAAAAATTGACCTATAATAGGTATCTATAATAAATTCCAAATTAATCATATCACAATAGCCATTAGGTACTTATAACGCGTTATACATCAACAACAAACCTTGATACTATCATAGATATAAAATAGTTCTTCTTGGTTTTTTTTTTATGTAATTTCGTTAAAATTTGAACTTAAAATGACTATAAAAATAAACTGTAAACTTATGTATTTTTAATATTTTTCAACTGATATTGTAACAATATATCAGTAGCCTTGTATTACATTTTTACACTTTTCGGTTTAACAGATAAAACTTTATTGATATTTATAGAAAAAGAAACTAAAAAATTGAAAGCTGTAAATGTCCGTAAACAGCTCAAAAAGAGTCAAAATATTTTCAAAATTCTATGAAATGAAATATAAAATATGTTCATTCAGTAAAATGTTCATGTATCTACAGTTATTCGTTTTTGAATTACAAGAAAATAAGGAAATCGCTATATGAGAAATCGAGTGAATATTCAATGTTGTAAAAATTTGAATTTCAAACGCTATTATAAGAATTTAATTTGACTTTCTTATAGACATTTATTTTTTGATAAAGGTAGACAAACTTATGAATAATCTTGTATTACATTTTCAAATCTTAGATTTAAACAGAAAATTTTTTACGAATTCTTAACTCAAAATAATTTGCTAATTTTCGTGATTTTTCCATATTTAGTAAATTTTTGAACTTTAAATGCTTATAAAGTTTTATTGACATTCATAGAAAAAAAGACTGATACAATTGGAAACAAAAATGTTGCTAAACAGTTCAAAACAAATCAAAATATTTTGAAAATTTATCATGTATACCTATAAAATACAAATATAAACAACCAGTGAAAATTGCATGTATCAACATCTCATGTTTAAAGTTAAACCAAAAACCAAAATCGATTTTGCATAAAAATTCCCTTTTTTCCTTAATTTTCCTTTTGTTTTTCACTGCGCTTTTGAAAATTACTGAGAATTTTAAATTTTAACTTCCCCAATGCACCAACAATATTCACTTTCCAATCGAACAAGATACTGAAGTTGAAAATCGAAGCATTATTTCGACTACTTATCGTGTACATAGACACAAAAAAAAAAAATTTGAAATAAACACACACATCATTGTAAAATCAATACATTCATTGTTCCACTCAGAATCTAAAATTAAATTTTTTACAAGTACGGTTCATTAGTTGTAACTTTAAAAGCTGAAAAGTTATGACTTATGAATTAATTGCCCTAAATATAATCTTTATAAATTGAAATACTAAGAATAATATTTTGCATACGAATATTAAAATATTATTTATAAGTGTAAATTTAATTTGGTATTGAGCCTTGGTATTTTGTTATGTATTCATGTCATTAAAAAATTTTTTATGACTAATATAATATGTTGCAGTGACTGTCTTGGTTAATTGTACTTTTTATAATCCTTATTAACTATAAAGTAATGCTTCTTCGTTCATATTATTTAAAAAAATACAATTATATGAAGATAGTTTCTTAGTATTTAATAATTCCAATAAAAAAATAATAATTTTTGTTAATTTTAGTTATTTAAGCAGTCTATCTAAAATTATACTAACAAATAATAAATTTTTATAAATAAATGTATATTATTGTGTATAGATTAAGCAGGGCTTGCAAAAGTTATGATAACGTTATATTTGACAATATAACGATTGAAATTTGTAAACGTAAATATAACGGAAGGAGATAATCAAAAATAATTAAATACTAAAATACCTCAAAACAAAACACAACGATTAACAAAATATATTGTATATCATTAAATAAAACATAACGCAAAACGTAATTTATAGAATATCATTAAACGAAAAATATCGCAAAACGTAATATATAGATAGTTCCATTGAACGAAAAATAACTCAAAACGAAATAATTTAAAAGTTATATTGGTTTAGTAGAAATATTTATTGCATGCATACGGTCATTATAATTGATTATAAATTATAATATAATTATAATTATAATATTACTATGTTCCGTATCCGGGCAATTACCTAACCACATTAACATTAACACTATTCTAAATAATGATGATAAAAGCAAAATTTGTACAACGTTTTAATTCTGAAATCTGAATAACGATATAAATGCAAAACTTGGCTAACGTTTCAATTCTGAATAACGATAAACACAA